ACTGATTCCCCACTGTTGGTTCAACCCCAAAACTTGTTTGTATTCAAAATTAATTATGACAATGCATATTTATATTGAAACAAACTGTGATAAAGGGAATTATATTATATAACAAAGGGCAAGGTCACCAGAGTTCAACTATGTTTATGATAGGTCACTCATTGCATTCCTTGAATCATAAGCTCCGCTCAGAACAACCACCCTACTACTTTGCTGATCTGAAAAATGGGTCGGGGGGGGGGGGTTATTGCTACCTCACCCCACTTAACCTAATAGTTGTTCTCTACATAATTTTTGCACAATTGTAATGTGTTGGTGTGTGGTTTTAGTATTTGATAAAGCCTGCATATAATATGATGAATCATCTGCAATATAAAGTTCTACCAGATAACAAAAATGTCAAGACCACGGGTAGAAGTATTTATATATGCAGAAGGGATTTTATCTGACTTGAAACCTATTGCCTCAAACTATAAATGTATATTTTGTAGCAGGCCCATAATTTGAAGCCATTTAGAGAGTACTAAAAAATGTGTACTTTTTTTGCTGGCAAATTGAGACCAAGACTTTTTCAATTGAATGCTATGAATGCAGTGTGCATGCGTACTGAACTTTAAAAACTTGAATGCTCAATTCTTGTTGGCTCCCTCGAAGTTCTGCAATTTGACCAAATTGTGAATATGTTCTCAAGACCATGACTTCAATTAGTACATGTATGCTGCAAAATAGAGCAATTGGTTAAAAATGCTAGATGTTTTTGTTTTGTTTTTTGAGAAATTTGCTTGTATTCATGATATTTGGTATACAGATGTTAATTACAGATCGAGTCCCCGGAAGTATGTAAAATAAAGCACTTCCTAACGTAAATGTCAAACCGTATGACCAATGATTGATTTGAGAGAGCTGACGTGATGTCGCACATTCATGGGTCAACCCAAATTTAAACCAGTTGATCAAGCAGTTTCTGAAAAACAAATCATTTTTGCATCGTTTACATTGGACACAAAGTGCATACAAAGTTTAAAAAGATTCCATTCAGTGGTTTTCACCAGCTCACGAAAGAGGAAAATCAGTAGTCCTGCGGAAAAACAACCTCTGTAGATTTAACTTTTAAACACATTTAACTTTTTATTTGACGCGCAGAGTTGATGGCTAATCTTTAGATATGAGCGTTCAAATTCCAATAACTAATGTTACCGTTTCATAAACTTGATATATGGAATAAAAAGTATGTTAATGTAATATTCAATTCTGTTATATCGTTTTCGTTACGAAGTTTGGCATATAAGAAAAAATCATGAATTCATAAAATGGAAATTCAATTTATTCACACTATATCCAACACCAACATGAAGTTAGACGTCTGAATCTTTAAACATGAGTATTAATAGTAATTAACACATGTCATAGTTTTAATGTCTTAGTTGCTGGATGATGCTACTGTACCAGATGACAGAAAACAAGACGACTAGATGGGGCAAAAAAAAATCTTGTTGATGATGCACTTCCTATATCATACGCCAGTATTGTTAGTAAAAGTATTTCACTAGCAATGCTGTTCTAGAACACGTGCAGTGTATTGATATTATGTCTAAAAGCAGCATGGATTTGTATAAGGACATTCGTGTGTCTCCAACATCTTGGAATGTATGAAAGCTTGGGCAGACAATTCCGATAAAATGGTAGCTCAACTGATGTTCTGTTTCTAGATTTCAGCTAATTGTTAGTTGTCTGAGACTTTAGTGAAGCGTTTGACACTGCCTCATCAAACGCGGCATACGGCTATCAGTTTTTCGATTGGTAGACGTTAACGTGTTAAAAGGGGTGGTCGTCGCGCCACGCATGTGCGAGATATGGGTCTTGTATACTAAACAATGATGGCAACGTTGGCTGTTGCTCAGATCGACGAGTTTTAACCAAGCTTAATTAGGTATTTTTTAGGTGATTTGAGAGTATCAAAGGAGTCACCGGCGGTAACTAGTGCGAGTCACGCCCAGGTACTCGTACTTGTAATTTCCATCAGAAAAGCGCATTGGATTGCTGGAAAATCAATGATTGTCGCCACAAATGTCGCACATGCGCGGCGCATCGACCACAGTATTTAGGCTTCATAGTTCCAGGTAACATCTGGTGCACTACATAGGACGCCGCTATGACAATGATATTCAAGATGTTCTCGAGGCGGTTACCATCAAGTCTTTCACGCCGTTGCATAACCAATAAATCACCAGAAATGGTCATGACTCTCTGTAAATCTCTATAAACCCATTTTAGTATGGTTCTCATATTTGAACCCAATTGCATGGACATGAATACAATATTCAAGTTAACAATATTAAATCATTAAACAAAGGTAGGCGAATCTAGAACTATATTTTAAAGAAATCGTTATTTAATTGTCGCGTAAAAATATTTACAGTTAATTAATTATATTAAATTATTTAAGTATAAGTTACTGAAGACAGTTAATTAATTATATTAATCACTCAGTATTGAGAGGTAAATGTTCAGGCTTTACCTCAATCAACACGAAGCTACCCAGAATGCAGTTGCGTCATTTATTTGATTTTAAATACTCATATCTCAAACTTGGCACCAACTACGGATACTACACGGTTTTTGTAACCGTGCAACAACTCAGCCCAAAGCATTAATTCGTGTGTAGGTTTATTGAAACACTTAAAATTCCTCAGAAGGAATTAAAATGGTTACACTAACTGCTAAAACACATATATAAAACATACAAATTTTACAAGAATTACTGTCTAAAGCACAACAATGGTTTTAAAAAAAATCAACAAACTACGATTCAAAAAAACAATTGATATGTGTAGGTAATAATATTGAAAAAAAAAAATAGATGAAATAATAATAAAAAAAAAGCAATAAACAGTAAATCAATGAAAGATAGAACAATATTATTAATAATATTATTTTTGATAAATTGGGCAACTGGTATTTGTACACTCAGGTTTGTATCACCCATTAATTTAAAAAAAAAATTGTAGTCACTCATATTCGTGAAGTTTATAATGTGTTTAGTAGTCTCTTCAAATAGTGCTTTTTCGTAAAATGAAATGAAATGGTACTCATCTTCTACTTTGTTATTTGAACACAGTTCGCAGATTCTTTTTCCTAGTTCGGTTCTTGGTTTGGTGTACCTCCCTGTTTCAATTTTTAGTTTATGATTGATCAGACGAACATTTTTTTCGTGGACATTTTCTCATTAATGAGAGAATTTGAATTAATCCTTTGCTGTAACCCATTGGTCATCTGAGAAAATATATTGTTTTTACATTTTCACAAGTTATTGTTCTTTTTGGTATATTACTACTACCACAGTCCCTCTAATGACTAATCTGTGAAGAATCTGTGCAGGTAGTACAATGCTACACAAAAAAATACGCCCTCAAACTAACAAAAATAATCATCTGACTAACACGTGATCAATAACCGTCACATGTCAGTCAAGTGGTACAATCGAGCCTATGAGGGATCGGCATTGCCTTTTGCCCTTTCTCCGTCGCAGAGGAACCCCCGAATATATCCTGCGACGAAAATGGACGGGAATCCCGGCCATAACTGGCAAGGGCAAACTCAAAATGGCGGCGCCCATGAAGACGACCTGTCTGAAGCCCAAAAACCTGAGAACTTCCAGAATAATGTGAACGTTGTCACAAAAGAACAATTTGAAGCCGGCCAACGCGAAGAAGACGTAGGTAGAATAATTCTCGTCATTCAAGATGGCGGTACTAACCCCGTCTCGGCTAACTGGCAGCCCACCACCGAAACGAACACAAATGAAAACAATAATCGCGAAAGAACGGTGGAAAACGTAGTTTCGTCAAATTTTGTTGAACAGGAAACTCATTTATGGCCAGCCGACAGAGAACGCTCTGTAAGTCTCGACAAAAGCTGCGATGTGCAAGATGGCGGAGTGAAAATGGGTCATCTATCACCGGGGTCACTTGAACCCGGAAGTAAGAAATCTTCGGCTCTCAGTCTCAGGCTACAAGTGCGGGAAGATGCAATAAACATCTTAGATGACTTGAACAGAGACAACCAAACCCCCAGTCAGGTTGGTGGAAATCCTAAACTAGACAAAGATTTTGATATAAATACATGTACATTTATTGAAGGCAATTTGGGAAAAGATAAAAGTAACACGCTGATGACCCCACATGAATTGGAAAGTATGCCGGAAGAAGGAATGGAGTTTGAAGAATCCGTTGGACCAAAACATAGTGGCATATCATCAAGTTTGGGTGATAGTGTATGCACTACATTTGCCGATATCATGAACGCTGCAGGTAGTGAGCATTTTGCTGAACAAGACCTGGCTGAAACTTTAGAAGCAGTTGCCCACCAGGCTGGAGATGGAGACTTGTCTGAAGCAAGTGCTCCAACACACACTGGGCCAATTTACATAGTTACAAACACATCCAAAGAATCAGGCACAATGCAGAAAATAGTAACTATCAACTCTGCTGATTCTAGACTTCTTGGCCAATCCGGCATATTTACAATAGGTGGGCGCACTCTGCCAATCTCCACAGTAACAACATCAGTGGTGGACAGTCAGTCGGATGGAAATACTAGCCGTATTCTGTCCGCTGGAAATGATGGTCTCATTATTGTGAATGATGCTGCATCATTAACTCAGTCCACTGCTATTATTAGTGAAAGTGTCAAGTCTCCTGGTAAGAAGATGAAACTTCCCTCATTTCCCAAATTGTGCACAAAAACTGGTTGAGAGGTGTAACCAGTTCAAATTCTAAAAACGGTTATCATGTTTTTTTACAAAGTGGAAGCCGTTTTGGGGCATGTTGACAGTGTGCCCTTTAAAAGAACTGATTTTGTAAGGATCACAATTCATATTAAACCCCTAAATCAAGTTGTGGACTACTTTGCGGAAAATTCAAAAAAAGATAAGGTTTGTCAGGAACTATAGAAAGCTCAAACTGGAAAACCTGTGACCCTCTCCTCCCCCAGAGTTTCTCAATTTATACACTTAATTTGTTTATACACTGAATTAATTTTTCAAAATTAATAATTTTCCAACTACAGTGGGATGTTTTTCAGTATTATTAGAATATCAATGCATGTTAGAATATCGATGCTTGGCAATTGGCACAATTAGTTAAGTGAAAGTCGTGAAAACTGTATATTGATGACAAACTTGCAGTTCTAACTAATTTGTTCTCTTAGCCCAGAAATGCTATATATATGTGTGTGTGTGTGTGTGTGTATATATATATATACACACATAAACATATACATAAACACATTGGTGATTAGTATTCTGGCCAACACAAAGTCAAGAGCAACTTGCATTTTTTTTTCAGCAGGTGACCCAATTGCACATGAGAATCAGGTGAATGATAATGAAGAAAATGAATTACCAGATACCGAGGTGAGCACATGATTAGTTACCAGTATTGCTCAATAAAAAACATTGAAACTTAGTTTCCATGAACCATACAGTAGCTTTGTTAGGACGTTTCCGCAATGTCAATGTATTGAACCGAGAAATTGTTAGGAGCTTCTTAGGTCCTCCTCACCCGTAACTATAATCTTTTCCCTCCAGTTCCCCTCCCTCATTTTAATTGTATATCCTCTTCTGTAGTTTTGTTGAGGGACATGTACAATTACATTGAAGCTGGAGTGTAAAGGTTCTAGTTAGGAGGCCTTGAGAAACTATTTCCAAGAAGGGTAACCACTATTGTTTTATTCCTTTCATACATAGTTCCAAGTAGTTATTAAATATGTTTACTATTGCAGGAAATGACCGATGACGAGGAGGATGATGCTAGTCCCGGGAAGGTGTACGCCTGTCCAGAGGGTGGTTGTGGAAAGAAACTTGCTTCAAAAGCAAAACTTAAACTGCATGTTTCGTCTCACACCGGGGAAGCCAGGCCTTTCAAGGTGAATAAATCGTAAACATTATTATTGTATAAAATGCACCAGAAATGTCATCATTAGTTGATGTATATGTATGTTCTTTTTTTCAGTGTGATTATGAAAGTTGTGAATGGGCTTTCACTACATCTTACAAGTTAAAAAGACATTATGCCAAACACACTGGAGCTAAACCATTCAAGGTAAGTTACTGTCTTTTGACTAACCAAATATATCACTAGTACTCTAAGAATAAATTGTCTCATCACAAATAGAAATAATCAAACCTTGAAATTATGATTTGGTGATTTTGTTTTTTCATTCAGTGTCCATATGCACATTGTGGAAAGTATTACACAACTGTGTACAACTTAAAAAGCCATATGAAGATTCATACCAGGCTCTCTTCTCTACACTCCTGTGATGTACCTGGCTGTGGTGAAACCTTTGCAACAAGACGGAAATTAGAAACGCACAAAAGAAAGCATTTTGACAGTAAGAAATTCCTGTAAGTTTCAATTTCGCTTTATAAATCATGGTGGGCAATTTATAAATGTACCCATTTCCGGTTCAAACTAGTGTTCAATATTGGTACATGTTGTATTCATGCATTCATTCATGCATTATTTTGCTTTCTCATTTGCTTCATTTGGTGGCAGCCATTTTAGTATTTAAGCCCTCTTAGTAGATGTGGTGTTACTGTTTCTCAGCCGTTGCCCAAGGGCCGGACTTGCTTGGTATAAAGATCATAAGAGGCGCATTTTATTTCGATTTGTTTCATAATTAGTTAGAATTGTAGATACTAAATATTAGTGGTTACTGACAATCATCTGTTCTGATGAGATTGGGAAGTTATTTTGTTGTCTTTTTCTACCCTCAGTTGCTCTCATCCTGGGTGTAGTAAAGCATTTTCCACATCCAGTGCCTTGGGATCACATGTCCGTAGTCATCAGAGAGAAGAACAAATTTATCCTTGTAATTTTGAAGGATGTGATAAAAAGTTTGACAAACCATGTCGACTTAAACTTCATCTGCGATCTCATACTGGAGAAAGACCTTATGTTTGCCCGTATGAGGTATGTTTACAATCCATTATTTTGTTAAAACTTGAGTAGTCTTGTGAAAAATTTTTAAAAAGAAAGTGAAAAATATTCCTACAAAATGCCATTAAAATTATTGTCACAAAAAGAACATATTCTTGTTACCTTTATTTACCAAAAATGATAAAAAATATTTGATAAATCTAGAGATTTACAGTGCTTGTCATGAAATTGACTAATCAGGTGTTAAAGGCCCAGGTATACTATAATTACGCCCCTGAACAATAGGGATTATTTCCTTGCTTGTCACAGCTCCAGCCAAGCTCCGGTAAAAATGTGTTTTCTCGAACTTACAGGGCGATTATGTCATGCCAAAGTGTATGTATGTGACTATGAATATCACAGCAGTGACTGCGTAGTATTTATGACAATAAATAGTGTACGAGCTGAGATTTTGGCGGATAAAAGTCAAAAACACGAACCGGGAAAGGGACGCGCTACTAATGTTGAATAATTAACTACTGTCGGTCAAAGTCACATGATGTTGGACCGCTGAAACAGGATGCGTCATAGGCTATGCAAGTTGATTAACAACACTCATTAGCATAGCCACACCTCCAATTTACACTTGCCCGGGGCAAGTGAATTGGGCCTTTAATATGAAAGCAATCTATTTATTTTCGAATGTTAAAAGTTGTTACATAAATAGCTCCATTTGGTCATTTAGCCATTGGATTGAATAAAACATTTTGTTAAAATGCAAAACATTTCATATTGCTGTTATGGTTCTTTATTCTGATTGGAGACATTTGTTTAATACAATGTACAGTGTAGTGTACCACTGACTGGATAATACGTCATTATGAACTTATGAAGGAAGCATCATATTCAGCTAAATTGTTCTACAATCAACAAGTATTTTTGGGGGGTAAAATTGAACAACTTTACCAAAAAATATACCCATAATTCTTGATGATAGAACAGTTGACAGAATGTGTCGCTATCCTTGAAGTGACCTATCGACGATAGTGACATGCAGTACAAATTGAAATCTCTTATTTGCAATTTTGTTAACTTGTTTCTTCATTAGGGGTGCGGTTGGGCATTTGTGTGTTTACAGAAATTAACAAGGCATCAAAGAAGACACACAGGGGAGAAAAAATATGAATGCCCTGAAGAGGGATGTGGAAAATCCTTTACCAGAGCTGAACACTTGAAAGGTCATCTCATTACACATACTGGTGAAAAACCATTTGAATGTGCTGTTTGTCAAACCAGGTTTTCAGCTCGCAGTAGCTTGTATGTACATATGAAAAAGCACAATACCAGTGAGGAAGAAAAAGAGAAAGAAAAAGTCTGGTACAACTGCCCTATTGATTCATGTGATAAAGTTTATGCTAGTAAAACTAGTTTGAAAAATCACATCAGTAGATTGCATAATACAGTTGCTTGTAAGTATCAGCCTTTGAAATGCACATATTTAAGGACATTTTACAAAACAAACAATACCATCATTCTAGAAGTTTAGTGTTCAAATTGCCCACTGGCTAGATAATATTTACTTACAACCCCTAATTGAAATGCTGCTTGTCACACTTGTTAGACCATAAATCTTGTTTTCCAAGGTCTGTCGTTAGACTTGATGGTTTCAAGTGATTATGATTGAAAACAATTTAAAAATGATAATTTTAGTTAAACCTTGCTTTCACATTGCATCTTGGACAAATTACATATGCCATTCCGAATTCCATATCATTTCAGTGTTTTTTATTTATTAAAGGTTCAAGTGAGGTGTTGATGTATTGACAATCTATATTGCTAAAATGGTGGTTTGAATAGAGGCTATGGTAGCCTTGCTTTCTGAGTCAACACATCCTAAAACACACTTGGGGCAAAAGAGATGTTCTCGGTTATATTCCCACAATCCTGTGTCAGACATGAACAAAAATACGTTCCTTTTGCATGCACTCGTACAATGTACAAGATAGAACATTCATCAAGTATCAACCTATACAATATGTCTTCTCAATCTCCCGGTAGTTCCAAAATGACAACATGATAAATTATAAATTAATGACTGCAGTATAAATACAATATAACATCTACATTTACTTGGGGTAACATAGCTTTTCCACAATGTAATTAGATCACCAGCAAACCAGTCATCACTTGCAGTGAAAAAAATCTAGTTTTTAAACTGACCTTTCACAACTGTACTATCTTATATTGTTTAGAAAAAAAATGCCTGACAATCCAAGTCAAATGACAATCTTTATTTCATATATTAGTTTCAGAAGAAAACAACCAGTTTGGTTTCATCTACATTACTCCAGAAGATTTGTCTGGTGCCACTCTCGAAAATCTAGGAGCTACTGAGACAGGTGCAACGGGTGAGAATCCTACCAAATGTATTTGCTCTATGAGAAGTGCATCTTCAATAGAAGCACACACAAAACGTACAAATTGTATACTAATTACACACAAAACGTACAAATTGTATACTAATTTTTAGTCCCCGTTCGAACGCAGTCCGAAAACAAGGACTTATGTTTTGACCTCCGTGCGTGCATCCGGACCTGTATCTTAGAAATGCCTTGACCAATCACAATCAAACTTCACACATACATCATACATGATATTATACATATGCACGTCAATTTGTTTCACGATCTGATTCAAGATGGCCGAATAACGACCATTTTTGTGCTAAAAATCATCAAAATCAAGCATTTCTCGGCTGTTTACTGATGGATTTTGTTCAAACTTGGTATATACATTAGACATTATAGGACCTTGATGCACATCATTTTGTTTTACGATCTAATTCAAAATGGCCGAATGGCGGCCATTTTTGTGCTTAAAATCATCAAAATCAAGCTTTTCTCGGCTGTTTACAGATGGATTTTGTTCAAACTTGGTATATGCATTAGACATTATGGGACCTTGATGCAAATAATTTTGTTTTTCAGATAAGATTCAAAATGGCCGACTGGCGGCCATTTTGTATTAATGAATGTGGTTCTTGTGCCATATCTCTGACTTGCTTTCACTGATTATGTTCAAATTTTAAATATTCATTATACATCATGTCATAGGTAGACAGATATATTGGTTTGACGATCCAATTCAAAATGACCAAATGGTGGCCTTTTTTGTGCTAAACAATCATCAAATATCAAGCATTTCTGGCATTTATGGATGGATTTTGTTCAAACTTGGTACATATATCAGACATTACAGGTTCCTGATGCACATCATTTATTTTTCAGATCAGATTCAAAATGGCTGTCTGGCGGCCATTTTGTTTTAATCACTGGGCTTCTAGACCCATATCTCCGACTTGTTTTGACTGATAATATTTTCAAATTTTAAATATTCATTATACATCATGTCATAGTAGACAGATATATTGGTTTGACGATCCAATTCAAAATGACCAAATGGTGGCTTTTTTTGTGCTAAACAATCATCAAATATCAAGCATTTCTGGCATTTATGGATGGATTTTGTTCAAACTTGGTACATATATCAGACATTACAGGTTCCTGATGCACATCATTTATTTTCAGATCAGATTCAAATGCTGTCTGGCGGCATTTGTTTATCACTGGGCTTCTA